TTTAATGTCACATGCACAAGTACAGTGAAATGCCTTTCTTGCTAGCTCTAAACCCGACAATCAATAACAATGTAATACTAAAAATAACAAGGTAGAACAAAAACACACACAATATAAAAATAAGAAATAAGAAGTGCATATTATGCGTGTGTGAGAAAATGATGGAGTGAGTATTTATATGTGTGTTGGAGTATCAGTGGGTGTAGTGTGTAGGGCCCTGTCAGTGTGCATAGATAATAAAATACAAAGGTCAACTCAGTCCGTGTAGACATTTTGTTATGACAAAACATACAGCAACTGCTTGTTGGCTTAAATACATTCTGACATGGATTCCCACACAAACATCAACACACACATTTAGCAAATAAATAGCTTGTGGTTCTGCTCTTGTTTTTCCCTCTGGGACCATAGAAAAAAAGGTTCCACCACATATGAGACACATTGTAAGGGTGGAACCCTGAGGATGGAAAATGGTAGAAGACTTCCTTGTAGTTTTTTCTGTTCACACAAAGCCGTGACTATTTCTAGGCATCACATTCACCTCAGAGTCCTAGAACACACATTGTAGGCTAAGTCAAGGACAAAGACCATGACAAAGTCATGCTTACATGACTATCACTGTTGCCATGCTTGGTCTACCTGTTAGTTGTTTGTTGGCCCACTTTCCCAGCTAGATTAATTCCGTATTTAAATGTTTACATTAGTTTTCTCGTTTGTTCATCTTATCTATGGAAGGCATTATATGCTTTATTACCTGCATCAATCAACCCCAGCTAATTCAAAATGGACGGCGCCAGATCCAAGGTTAACCTGAATGAGATTAGGAGAGGCTTGGTCAACACCACCAAGTGCAACTTAGAGAAGGGCAGGTCTGGGCTTGCCAGACTGCATGGCACAGTGGTTTTCAGTCATCTGCATGTTGACCATGACTCATTAGAGATCTTAAATCTTGAAAAGCCAATGTTGCCAGTTGAGTAAGTGGCTAATGATTGGTCTTATTATATCGAGTTAAACATAAGCCTAAAGTTTATGGGAGAAGTTCTGATACTACGTTGGTGATTTCCCAAATGGGGAAAGTCATTTAATTGTAGATCAAGATATTTACATTTTGTAACAAACAAAAACACAAGATAATCATCAAGGCATTGAGAATGTTTAACGTTTGGACCAACTCTGATTAAGCAGTTATCAAGTCTAGCTTTTTACATCACTGTTAATTTATTTGCTATGATAATCTAATGCCCTTTCTATCTCAAATTATTTCAGTGATGTTGACACAGGAACTGCATTCATATCAATCCAATACTGGAATTAAGTTATTGTAATGCACTACTCTTTAACATAAGAAAATAGATGTTTGTGATGCAAAATGAGTAAATATAAAACAGCCACATTAAAATGATATCCAGGTTTATTTTAAACATAATTTCCCCTGTAGCCTATCTGGGGGGAAAACACATTCATACAGAAAAACGAAATCCTCAGTACCGTGTTTGTAAATTACATCAATAAGTGGACAATGCAAAAGGAAATCAAATTTCAGGCTTTATTGTAAGTGGTGTTTTTTGGCACGTCAATCATTAGTCAACGGCAACAAATGGAATCAAATATGAATGAAAGGCAACGAAAAGTTTGTGACTGAAAGTCAACCTTCAATTACAAATAAATCTCAGCTCAGTGTAATTATGTCAATAAATAAAAGTAAAAAATAAATAGACTATTAAATAAAGTATAAAACAGAGTTTACTTTTAAATCAAGAAACTGCTAATTTGTCTGAAAGACAGCTACATTAAGAGTGTTGGACATCCCTTTGATGAAAGTTACCTAAATTGAACATCACATTTGTTACTTTCATATAAAAAGCAGTAAAATATGCTTAAAAAGTCAAATTATACAAAAGGCAAAAATGTAAGTCAAGTCCCTTTTCCAAATGGAAATTGGAAAAATTCACAAGACGTCTATATTCATATATGAAACAAGGAGCATAAGATTTGAGAAATAAGACAGTCCAAAAAAGTTACAGCAAAAAGTGAAGTAGTGAAGAGAGTCAGTAACAAACTGATTTGCAGTCATCTTTTTAGAGCACTGGGATAAATAATGCACACTGTCTTTTGGATATAGGCTAGTACCAGATCTGCCAACTCCATTGTTTGGTGTGTTGGCAAGAGCACAAACAGATCTGGGAAAATGATTGGATATGGATGAGCTGGTCAATTAAGACTGAAGAAAATTGATACTTTCTTGGTATTACCAGAAACAGGCACTTTATCAGTGAAATGCATTGAGAGGAAAAATAATAAACCAAGTGTAATGGTATCTGCATTCTCAAAGCAAATAGTTTCATCCCATAAAACACTTGTTACTGAACACCAAATAAGAAATATGGATAAAGCAATTGGAACAAGAAAATAATAGTAAATCTAAGTTCTGATTTAAAAAAAACTACACTTCACATTCTCTGAAATCGCAACAAGCATTTCTAATCCTAAATCATCTATTTAATAGAAAAATGTTGGGTATTTGTACTTTCAACCAACTTTGAAAAAAGGCACACACTAATAATGTAATCCTGACTTGATAAAGCTTGACACAATACCTTTCAAAATTAAATCCATCATTAAATGGGTCGTTCCACCAATTAGGTACCTTTCGAGTAGTGTAACTTGGTGAAAATAACATTTTATTTCACATAATAATACAATTCTGTCAAAGAGCACGTTAAAATTTATAAAATAATTTTAAAAAACTTTCCCCCCCCCCATCTCAGAGGTTAAGTAAAAAAATTACTATAGTAACTGCCTATTAAGTGCCAAATAAAGTAACATGGTTGACGACTTCATCTTAAAGCAGCCATAAATCCCCTTGTGACAGTGGGAATGGAAGCTTGTGTGCAGCAGGGAGTGGCAATTGAATGCAAGCTTCACAAACAATTACATTGTTAAAAGATTTCTAGCCTGTCTATCTATGGGTAACAGGGTTTACATTTACATTTTACATTTTTAGCAGACGCTCTTATCCAGAGCGACTTACAGTTAGTGAATACATATTTTTTTATACTGCCCCCCCCGTGGGAATCGAACCCACAACCCTGGCGTTGCAAACGCCATGCTCTATCAACTGAGCTACATCCCTGCCGGCCATTCCCTCCCCTACCCTGGACGACGCTGGGCCAATTGTGCGCCACCCATGAGTCTCCCGGTCGCGGCCGGCTGCGACAGAGCCTGGATTCGAACCAGGATCTCTAGTGGCACAGTTAGCACTGCGATGCAGTGCCTTAGACCACTGCGCCACTCAGGGTTGACATGTTATGCTCGACCCACTCAGTTTTCCACAACAAAACGGCCAAAGAGTAGAACCAGCTCACCTGCTTTTACACTAATATTTTACTATTAGATGTTCAATGTCTCTTTTGAAAATAAAATATTTAAAAAGGAATAGTTTCAACATATTAAAACAAGACTTTATTTCACGTAACAGGGTTGACCTTAAAATAAGGGACAGGTGTTAAAAAATAATAATCATGGAATCACTAACATGAAATGAATAATAATCTTCAGAAATGACTGTCAAGGCAACAAAATAACTAGGGCTTTTCAACTTTTGGGGTTAAGTGGGTTAAAATCTTCCTAGAAGTCAAAGAGGATGAACAAAGGGACATGTCAAAATGCTGCATTATGGCACTTTAGCAAGTATTCATTCATATAAAAAAATCTGATTTGTTGAATTTACCATGTGGTCTATTTTAAAGGGCACTTAATTTACTATAACATGTTTTTTTGTGTGCACAATTTCTACTTAAAATATCAAAGGGACGCAAAAGGAACTCATTTCGTGGAACGACCCAAATATAAACAAATTCTTTCAGCTGCCTCATTTTATTTCAAATGATCTTCCTATGGCATGATGATAATAATAATGGCAACTCAACACAATTGTTACTTATTGAAGTGCTTCATTATAAGTGATGTTCTTGATCCCAATCGATTAACACAAGCCTTTGCGGCCAGTTAAACTGAACATGATGAGTACCTCATATCTTTTCACACGTTATTTTCATATAAACTCAAATTCATATGATAGCTTGACATCTGAATCAAGCCCAGATAAGGCACAACAGTAGCCAACAACACCCCAACCTGGACTAAGACAAAAACCTCAAGACTGTGGCATACACCAATGCAACATCATGTTAACGTATGTGGGCCCCGTGTAGCTCAGTTGGTAGAGCATGGCGCTTGCAACGCCAGGGTTGTGGGTTCGATTCCCACGGGGGGCCAGTATGAAAATGTATGCACTCACTAACTGTAAGTCACTCTGGATAAGAGTGTCTGCTAAATGACTAAAATGTAAATGTCCTGCCCGGGCCCTTTCAGGTCTACTCTGCTTCGAGTCCATTCTCATTAGTTTAGCAAGAGATTACATGGACCACAATGCATTTCACTGGCACCAACACCACCAGACTCATTCCCAAAAGGCCACTTCACACAAAGAATTGCTTTGGTTAAACTAAGTTTAAGTGGTTTTGTCACTTATCTTAATTTTCTCTTCTCAATATTAGGTGCTACGGAAGCAAGAGACAACCTCGGTACAAGCCATTCCAAGACTTCTATCACTTGATTAGTTTCAGGGGTGAGATGAGAAGCATGCAAACAAAATATAAACAAAGATTGGGCAATGAACTGTATCTGTACAACTGACATGGATAATACAAAATATATACACTATAATATATACACAGTCTCATCAATACATTTATTGCTGTAAAAATTCTCCATTCCTTTTTTTGGATACGCTTAACAAGTCTGTTACAAATCTTTAAGATTGTACAGTATTGTCAGTCTCTTTTTGCTAGACCATGTCCCTAAGACGTGTTCAGTTTGCCTGTCCAAAGCCGTCCCTGCAGCTCCGCTCCAGTCCAGTCCAACACAGAGTTCAAAGTTCAGTCAGAGTGCTGCCTGATTCAGTGCCCGACTCAAATTCCTGCACCACTAGTATTGGGTCACACTGCAAATACACTCAGTGTGCTGGTCTGGTCTTTCAAGCCCAGGATGCTGTATGCAATTCTCTTCAGGTGGCCGGGCAGTCTTACGCCAATGTTCTTGATATCCCTGTGAAAAAGAAAGCACAAGAGAGCAATTGAGCTATAGAGCCACTGGATAGCAACTGGGGAATTCACGTCTTGACCTGGTTCGGATTCCCTTTCAAACTAATTCTTCCATCTTCCCTTCATTTAGGTAATCAATATGAAACTGGATGTGAAAGCAAAGTTAGCACCCTATTGAAAATAACCTAGCCAGGAGGACAGTTTCTCATTTTCAAGGAAGGGCAAACATGAGGTAAACCCCTCACACAGCCACACGTGACAGAACCTGGCGAAGGCGTGCCACATCCAAGTCCCTCATTACCAGGTTTAATTACAGTCTTAATTAGTTAATGAGGATTCTCCATCTCGCCCATGAATCAGTTGCCTGGCGAGCAGAGGGAGTGTCGTAAATAGTTCAGTCGAGTGCTACCAGATGACAAGAGATGGAGCAAGGGACCGTAAAATCTCACCACGGAATATGACACACACTTCAAAAGACGTTTCCCGTTTCCACACAGCCCTCTTTCTTAGGATTAAAAGGAAAGCCTCGTCGGTAGATGTGTTCCGTCTCCCATAGCTCTACAGAAAATGAAGAAAGTTGCAGACTATCTACCTCCCAGATACTGTATTTACTGATTGAGTGATATAATATTTAGGGTTACAGTGCCTTCGTCTGGGTATTTTGTTAACTTTTTGGGGTGTGCGATGGTCCAAAGTCATCTCCTTATCCACAACTGTTCTACTCTATCTCCACATTGCCCCTTCTAGTCTAGTGGCTGTTCTCTCTTCTTCTTCTTCTCCTCCTCCTCCTCGTCCTTTCATGTTGCATAAGCCACGAGGGCCTTTGCCCTACACAGCCAGGACCCGCGGTTTCAGGCTGCTGGTGTGGGGAAGGAGGGATGAGAGAAATCATTGAAAAAAGGGAAGGGAGGGCACAAAAGAGGGGAGGGAGCAAACCACAAGTCACCGCCACAAGGCCATCGCAAATGAGCCTGCTCTTTCTCGCTCTCCATTATTTTTTTCCATCTCACTCGTTTTCTTGAGTTGTGGAGAGGCCGGAGTTTATATTGTCCTTAAACGGTTCTCTGGCTGTCGAAATCTACTTTTTCAAAAACAAAAACCCCAAACACTCAGCAGAAGTCACATCCATAACATGGTTTGGAAAACTAAGAATGGACTTAGCTTGGGAACCAGTTGTTCTCCATTGTGCATGTACTCTATACATATCTATTTAATACATTCCTATATGCTCATCCAATCTTATATATTTTTTTATCAGATCAGCTTTAATATTGCAGATAGATTGTAGCTTCCATCTCTCATCCAATCTTAGGATTGTCTTTTTTTGTAATCAATTGTTTTGATGAACATCATCTCATCAAGTAACAGACAGAACGTCCCACAAAAATCTAATAAGATGCTTTAGAAAAACACTACTCACACGTTCTTCATCTGCAGCACCTGGTCCATGGTGACCACTCCGGCGCAGGTGAAGTTCTCGCTGTACTGGCTCATCTTGATGGACTCCAGCCACTCTGACACCGACCTGAACGGTGAGCCGTCCGAACCACTTGTGCTGGGCAGGCGGATGGATACGCTGGAGGAGGGAAAGTAGGGCAGAGTAAGCTATAATCATCACCAGCTGCCCGACAATCAGGACAAAGATAGTCGGCTGTAATTACTCAGCAAGGAAACAGTGAGATAAAAACCAGTTGGTGCAGCTATGGGGAAACTGATAAAAGAACCTGACAGATCTTTGTCTTTTGTGTCTAAAACCTGTTCACAGACACCTGCACACATACAGAGACGGCAAGTAGCCTAGCGGTTAGAGCGTTCGTCAGTAACTGAAAGGTCACTAGTTCAAATCCTGAGCCGACAAAGTGAAGAACCTGTCGATGTGCCCTTGAGCAAGGCACTTTACCCCAATTGTTCCAGAGTCGCCGTTGATAATGGCAGACCCTGGCCGTAACCCCACTCTCAGAGGGTATCTCAGGGGGAGTTGGGATATGCAAAAAACAAATGATGTGTATTAACGTGTGAAATTTGACAAATATAAGCACCTACCAAATTATTATTACACATGCACACATTATGCTGCCACATTATCCTACCAAGAATTTGCTTTTTCTTGTGCTCCAGTCGTTCATGGATATACTTTGATGTGTAATTCCCTTCTAGAGAGTAAAGGACTCATACCGGGGGTCGAAGTCTGCGATAGCCTTCAGGGACTCGGGGCTCCTGAGCAGCTTGTCCAGCAGGCTGACGATGTCTGGGAAACGGGGCCTCTTGGAGCGGTCCTGCAGCCAGCACTGCAGCATGAGCTGGTAGACGGCTGATGGGCAGTCCATGGGCGCTGGCAGCCTGAACGCCTCGTTGATGGCCTTCATGACCTGACAACCAGAGGCTAGAGGTTTAGTTTAGTTTAATTTATTCGCACCAAAGAAAACAAGTAATAGACAAACGGTGTGCAGATGTGGTTGGACGCCCAAGTGCTTATATGAAAACCATACCACAAAAAAACTATACAATACATAAGTACAAAAATAAAAAAGGTTTGTTAAAACAGATAACAAAACCTACTAATTATAAATGTATAAATTAATTGATTAGTAATCACAAATGTTTTGTTGTTGTTTTGTTTAAAAAGTGTGTGTGCATGTGTGCGCATGTGAGTGTGTGAGCATTAGGCTATATAGAGGAGTTTACTGAGTAATTTGGTTCATCAGGCTGACCCCCAGTCTTCGCTTGAAGTTACTGAGGGATGACGATGTTTTGGCAATGTGAAGATAAGAATTCCAGAGTATGGTACCTCTGTATCTGATAGAGAATTGACTATGTGAGGTGCGGCAGTGGGTCACCTTGAGATCCCACACTTGATCGGAGGTTCACAGAGCTGTTATGATAGTTAGTACTAGCATTCCCGTTAGCGGTAACTTCATGGGTTTCCATTGGTTTACGTTAGCAGTGTAACTATAAGGCTTCCTGCCTTGTTTGGCTTTGTTAGCGTTAGCATTGTAGTGTACCTCGCAGTTGCTCATGTCCCAGTAGGGACGCTCTCCAAAAGCCATGACCTCCCACATGACGATGCCGAAGCTCCACACGTCGCTGGCCGAGGTGAACTTCCTGTAGGCAATGGCCTCTGGGGCTGTCCAGCGGATGGGGATCTTACCACCCTGTTGGAGGGGAAACAAGTAGACAACACACTCCGGTCAGAGCCCAAAAAATACATTGTTTCAATTAAATTAAAGTACATTTAATTCAATGACAGTCCTCTATGAGCAGTTTACACTGAAATACAGTGCTAACAAGGCAAAGGTGTTAGCAAGAGCTGAGCAAAGCCAACCGTTGTAATGTCCAATGTTAACTCACGCTGGTGGTGTAGGTGCCCTCAGGGTCATCCTCCAGCACTCGGGATAGGCCGAAGTCAGACACCTTACACTCCAGGTTGTTGTTGACCAGGATGTTGCGGGCAGCCAGGTCCCGGTGAACGTAGCTCATGTCAGACAGGTACTTCATGCCGGCGGCGATGCCATGCATCATGCCCACCAGCTGGAAGGATGGCATCTCGCCATCACGATCCTGAAAGGGAAACACGTTGTAACACACACATACTGTTAGAAATATTTGGAAGCTGTAGTAACTCATTGTCTTTCATTTATAAAAGGTAACTTGTATAGGATGTACTGTAGGCCTAGTCACCTTTAGGTACTTGTCCAATGCGCCGTTCTCCATATACTCAGTCACAATCATGGCATGCTTGACTGGAACCAAAAAAGGGCATAAATACTGTTAACTACTGCCCAAACAGGCATGAAATATATACATATCGATGTATATATAAACAGGTAAAGTGAATGCTTGACAGGAGAATACCATTATTGGTGTAGGTAGTGCCCAGTAGGCTAACAGAGGTTTCTTACATTTGGTGACAACTCCCTCCAGGCGAATTATGTTCTGGTGGGAGAACTGTCCCATGATGCTCGCCTCTGACAGAAAGTCCTGCCTTTGCTTCTCCGAGTAGCCCGGCTTCAGCGTCTTAATGGCCACCGCCCCCTCCTTCCGCCCTGGCGCTTTCAGAATACCACGGTACACCTCTCCAAACTCCCCTAGAGGCGTTGAGGAAAATTGATTTAAAACCCAAAGACAAGATTGAGCAATATTTCAAGCACTATCCTTTATAGGGGTGTGGCTTGCAGTGTCTCGAGTCTCAGGCGTTTGGGAAATTGGATAAGGGGAAAGTAAACAAGGAAGGGGTCATGAGTGGTTTTGCCCCGGGGCATTTCACAGAGGTGTGTTATTGTGGGATTGTGTAAAAAAAGTATCCGTCTCTCATTGGTGGAAGCCTGTGGCGTGGTTGGGAGCATGGGAATCAGCTGTCACAAAGGGGAGGGCCGAGCACGGTCGTGGGAAAACAGTACGGGGGGGTTCAAAGGGCAGATGTGGTCACACTGCAATAAACCCGTCATCTGAGAAGTAGGAGTTTGGGCCCAAGGAGGTATAGTATAGCCTGCTTGGCTTCGGGGACCAGTGCTTTGTCTCAAAAGACACTCAAATCCACCAGAATAATTAAGATAAACAGAAGTATTTGAGAGTCTTTTGAGACAAAGCACTGGTCCCCGAAGCAAAGCAGTTGCCACACTGAATTATGTCTAAACATGCAGGGTGAGGACGCAATCCATCAATACTAAACTGGAGGGTCTACCCACTGATCTGGAGGGTCTACCCACTGATCTGGAGGGTCTACCCACTGATCTGGAGGGTCTACCCACTGATCTGGAGGGTCTACCCACTGATCTGGAGGGTCTACCCACTGATCTGGAGGGTCTACCCACTGATCTGGAGGGTCTACCCACTGATCTGGAGGGTCTACCCACTGATCTGGAGGGTCTACCCACTGTCACTCAAGAGCTCAAGCTGTAGCACTAATGCAGCTGAAAATAAACAGACTTAAGGGATGTAAAAACCCTTTAACACCTTCCTCCTAAGTCCTTAAGCACATTGTTTTAACTGGGTTCTCACTCACCAGCTCCAATGACTTTCTGCTTGGTCACATGGCTGGGATGGATCTCACTGGCAAACTTGAGGATGGCCATGTTGGGGTCCTCGTATGTGTGCGGATCCACGTAGGTTTTTAGCGGCTTCAGTTGCTCTGGAGAAGAATACGAATAGATGGATGTTAGTGAAAGAACTATATAAATATATGACAGACAGAGGGGTACTTCTTTACTTTTGTCTACCTGAGCTAGAGAAGTAAGTATCCTCTGGTCCTTGTCTTGTATGAGAGTTCCTTCTCCTGAATAACAGAAAATAAACATAATCAGTAACTTTCATCTCGCGCCAAAACACAAATGGTCCGATTCTCTTTGTATCCTTTCATTTCCAGCTAGTTTCAAAAGGCGCCTAAGTCATTGGTGTATGCCGCCTCGATTCACTGAGGGAACACTTTGATAAAAGACTGGAGCCTGTGGGTGTTTGCTAAGCTGTGTCAGAGACAGACTGAAGGACACAGATGGCGGTGTGCTGCTGTGCTGAAGGAGCAGGATCATCTCTAGCTGCTACAGCCTGCCACAGAAAGAGCCGACCAGCTCTTATCCGAAAACAATGTGCCACTTGGGCCCGCTTCAATTCAAATCCACTACTTGTTAGAGTACACTCACTGAGCAATGACAAGCTGTACTCAACACCAATTCTCCCCTAGTGAGTGCTGGATAACAGATAGAGAGAGAGAGTAGCAAAAGTAAAAGGGGAGAGAGAGGTGGAGAGGTGGCTAAAAGGAAAGACCATTTGAAGCATTGGCAAAGGAAAGAGAAGAATGAGAAAGGAAACCAGTGAAGGGGTGAATGTTATGAACATGCTTAAAAAAAGGTATGAGGGGCGGAGGGGGGAAAAGGAGGTTGTTGCTGACCGTTTGCGTACGAGCAGGACGACCACCACAATCATCAACATGGCCGCTCCGCCAACCGCTGCTCCGAATATGACCCCCGTGTTGCTCTGGGCCAGTGGCACTGTGGCACATCAACAACAAACACTTATACAATGGTAACACACTGACACACACACACACCACTGATTTTAGCACAAACATGCACACACACATACAATGGAGGACCAAAGCTGCCGTAATTAGAATTAAATTAATAATTAAATGCACACATAAATAGATACATACATCAATAAATGCACATAAATAGATACAATTATATAAATAATTAATCCCACTCATTTTATTTATTTACATCATCTCTTCATTTATTTATGTGTACAGTGAGGGAAAAAAGTATTTGATCCCCTGCTGATTTTGTACATTTGCCCACTGACAAAGAAATGATCAGTCTATCATTTTAAATGGTAGGTTTATTTGAACAGTGAGAGACAGAATAACAACAAAAAAATCCAGAAAAACGCATGTCAAAAATGTTATAAATTGATTTGCATTTTAATGAGGGAAATACAGTGGGGAGAACAAGTATGATACACTGCCGATTTTGCAGGTTTTCCTACTTACAAAGCATGTAGAGGTCTGTAATTTTTATCATAGGTACACTTCAACTGTGAGAGATGGAATCTAAAACAAAAATCCAGAAAATCACATTGTATGATTTTTAAGTAATTAATTTGCATTTTATTGCATGACATAAGTATTTGATCACCTACCAACCAGTAAGAATTCCAGCTCTCAGAGACCTGTTAGTTTTTCTTTAAGAAGCCCTCCTGTTCTCCACTCATTACCTGTATTAACTGCACCTGTTTGAACTCGTTACCTGTATAAAAGACACCTGTCCACACACTCAATCAAACAGAATCCAACCTCTCCACAATGGCCAAGACCAGAGAGCTGTGTAAGGACATCAGGGATAAAATTGTAGACCTGCACAAGGCTGGGATGGGCTACAGGACAATAGGCAAGCAGCTTGGTGAGAAGGCAACAACTGTTGGCGCAATTATTAGAAAATGGAAGAAGTTCAAGATGACGGTCAATCACCCTCGGTCTGGGGCTCCATGCAAGATCTCACCTCGTGGGGCACCAATGATCATGAGGAAGGTGAGGGATCAGCCCAGAACTACACGGCAGGACCTGGTCAATGACCTGAAGAGAGCTGGGACCACAGTCTCAAAGAAAACCATTAGTAACACACTACGCCGTCATGGATTAAAATCCTGCAGCGCACGCAAGGTCCCCCTGCTCAAGCCAGCGCATGTCCAGGCCCGTCTGAAGTTTGCCAATGACCATCTGGATGATCCAGAGGAGGAATGGGAAAAGGTCATGTGGTCTGATGAGACAAAAATAGAGCTTTTTGGTCTAAACTCCACTCGCCGTGTTTGGAGGAAGAAGAAGGATGAGTACAACCCCAAGAACACCATCCCAACCGTGAAGCATGGAGGTGGAAACATCATTCTTTGGGGATGCTTTTCTGCAAAGAGGACAGGACGACTGCACCGTATTGAGGGGAGGATGGATGGGGCCATTTATCGCGAAATCTTGGCCAACAACCTCCTTCCCTCAGTAAGAGCATTGAAGATGGGTTGTGGCTGGGTCTTCCAGCATGACAACGACCCGAAACACACAGCCAGGGCAACTAAGGAGTGGCTCCGTAAGAAGCATCTCAAGGTCCTGGAGTGGCCTAGCCAGTCTCCAGACCTGATCCCAATAGAACATCTTTGGAGGGAGCTGAAAGTCCGTATTGCCCAGCAACAGCCCCGAAACCTGAAGGATCTGGAGAACGTCTGTATGGAGGAGTGGGCCAAAATCCCTGCTGCAGTGTGTGCAAACCTGGTCAAGACCTACAGGAAACGTATGATCTCTGTAATTGCAAACAAAGGTTTCTGTACCAAATATTAAGTTCTGCTTTTCTGATGTATCAAATACTTATGTCATGCAATAAAATGTAAATTAATTACTTAAAAATCATACAATGTGATTTTCTGGATTTTTGTTTTAGATTCCGTCTCTCACAGTTGAAGTGTACCTATGATAAAAATGACAGACCTCTACATGCTTTGTAAGTAGGAAAACCTGCAAAATCGGCAGTGTATCAAATACTTGTTCTCCCCACTGTAAGTTTTTGACCCCTCTCAATCAGAAATATTTCTGGCTCCCAGGTGTCTTTTATATCGGTAACAAGCTGAGATTAGGAGCACACTCTTAAAGAAAGTGCTCCTAATCTCAGCTTGTTACCTGTATAAAAGACACCTGTCCACAGAAGCAATCAATCAATCAGATTCCAAACTCTCCACCATGGCCAAGACCAAAGAGCTCTCCAAGGATGTCAGGGACAACATTGTAGATCTACACAAGGCTGGAATGGGCTACAAGACCATCGCCAAGCAGCTTGGTGAGAAGGTGACAACAGTTGGTGCGATTATTCGCAAATGGAAGAAACACAAAAGAACTGTCAATCTCCCTCGTCCTGGGGCTCCATGCAAGATCTCACCTCGTGAAGTTGCAATGATCATGAGAACGGTGAGGAATCAGCCCAGAACTACACGGGAGGATCTTGTCAATGATCTCAAGGCAGCTGGGACCATAGTCACCAAGAAAACAATTGGTAACACACTACGCCGTGAAGGACTGAAATCCTGCAGCGCCCGCAAGGTCCCCTGCTCAAGAAAGCAAGAAAGCACATATACAGGCCCGTCTGAAGTTTGCCAATGAACATCTGAATGATTCAGAGGAGAACTGGGTGAAAGTGTTGTGGTCAGATGAGACCAAAATGGAGCTCTTTGGCATCAAATCAACTCGCCATGTTTGGAGGAGGAGGAATGCTGCCTATGACCCCAAGAACACCATCCCCACCGTCAAACATGCAGGTGGAAACATTATGCTTTGGGGGTGTTTTTCTGCTAAGGGGACAGGACAACTTCACCGCATCAAAGGGACGATGGACGGGGCCATGTACCGTCAAATCTTGGGTGAGAACCTCCTTCCCTCAGCCAGGGCATTGAAAATGGGTCGTGGATGGGTATTCCAGCATGACAATGACCCAAAACACACGGCCAAGGCAACAAAGGAGTGGCTCAAGAAGAAACACATTAAGGTCCTGGAGTGGCCTAACCAGTCTCCAGACCTTAATCCCATAGAAAATCTGTGGAGGGAGCTGAAGGTTTGAGTTGCCAAACGTCAGCCTCGAAACCTTAATGACTTGGAGAAGATCTGCAAAGAGGAGTGGGACAAAATCCCTCCTGAGATGTGTGCAAACCTGGTGGCCAACTACAAGAAATGTCTGACCTCTGTGATTGCCAACAAGGGTTTTGCCACCAAGTACTAAGTAATGTTTTGCAGAGGGGTCAAATACTTATTTCCCTCATTAAAATGCAAATCAATTTATAACATTTTTGACATGCGTTTTTCTGGATTTTTTTGTTGTTATTCTGTCTCTCACTGTTCAAATAAACCTACCATTAAAATTATAGACTGATCATGTCTTTGTCAGTGGGCAAACGTACAAAATCAGCAGGGGATCAAATACTTTTTTCCCCTCACTGTATTTCTTCCTCCAATATGATGAGGTGGGGTTAAACCAAACGTATGTGGGTGACATTGATTGATCAATGCGATGGCGCATTGATCGACTGCATTTGCCTGGGCTGCATTCAGTATGACAGAACGTGTTCAGAGTTTAAAATGCCATGTTTCACATTAGCAGCCCCCAAACAATAATGTGAAGCGCATATAGCTACTCATCAATATGTCACTTTTGGAGATAAAAATCTATTATATGCTGCTGTGCCGGACGCGCACCATAAAAACACACAAAAATAACTAATTTAACATTGTCCTTGCTCGACATAGAAACTGGTGAACAGTTTTGGAACACTGAGCCACTGGCTGCCTGCCTGTACCAGGTGGCTGTGTTAGGAGTGGGTTGCTTTTGACAATAAGCCACCGCACTACAGCCATATCGTTTTGAACGTAGAAGAAGACCAAGAGACCGGAGTAGGAAAGGAGGAGTCGACCGGGATGGGCGAGAGGAATGTCCAGTTGGCCAGAAAAGCATGGTAAGCTAACGTTACTGAATATCAAGCTAGCTAGCTTGGCTACGACTGAAAGTCAAGTTGGCTAACTAGCTGCGTTTTACAGCCAGACTCAGTTTTACACTTAGCTAGCTAGATAATGAACTAAACTGCAATTATCATAAACCATTCTTATCTAGCTAGCTATGGTAGCTAAATATCTGTCAGATGTAAAGCAAGCAGGATCGTGGCATAACATAAGCAATGCATGTTGGCTAGCTCACGTTAACTAGATCACTTAAGCAATAGAGTGGATACTTAATAAGCTAGCTAACTACAGTCAAATAAGGAGGAGCATGGTCATGATGGAATAAGTCACCTATGTGAAGCTAGCCACAATACTGATTAGCCACAATAGCGGAATTTGCTGTTCGCCTTTGCAATTCTTAGTGAGATGAGATGTGGTCCCAAAATATAAAGAATATTTTAGCTAGCTATAAATTCACGTATGCCATGTAATTTGTCATAGCTGTTATCACAAAATGGCATGCATAGTTTTAATTAGATCTATTGTTGTTATGTACATACAGTGCATTCGGAAAGTATTCAGACCCCTTGACTTTTTCCACATTGTTACGGTACAGCCTTATTCTAAAATGGACTAAATAAAACAATTTCCTAATCAATCTACACACAATACCCCATGATGACAAAGCGAAAGCAGGTTTAGAAATGTTTACAAATTCAAAAATAAATAAATAACTTAAATACTTTATTTACATAAGTATTCAGACCCTTTGCTATGAGACTTGAAATTGAGCTCAGGTGCATCCTGTTTCCATTGATCATCCTTGAGATGTTTCTACAACTTGATTGGACATGATTTTGAAAAGGCACACACCTGTCTATAAAGGTCCCACAGTTGACCGTGCATGTCAGAGCAAAAACCAAGCCATTAGGTCGTAGGAATTGTCCGTAGAGCTCCTAGACAGGATTGTGTCGAGGCATAGATCTGGAGAAGGGTACCAAAACATTTCTGCAGCATTGAAGGTCCCCAAGAACACAGTGGCCTCCATCATTCTTAAACGGAAGAAGTTAAGAACCACCAAGACTCTTCCTAGAGCTGGCCGCCCGGCCAAACTGCGCAATCGGGGGAGAAGGGACTTGGTCAGGGAGGTGACCAAGAACCCGAAGGTCACTCTGACAGAGCTCCAGAGTTCCTCTGTGGCAATGGGAAACCTTCCAGAAGGACAACCATCTCTGCAGCACTCCACCAATCAGGCCTCTATGGTAGTGGCCAGACGGAAGCTACTCCTCAGTAAAAGGCACATTACAGCCCACTTGGAGATTGCCAAAAGGCACCTAAAGACTCTCAGACGATGAGAAACAAGATTCTCTGGTCTGATGAAACCAAGATTGAACTCTTTAGCCTGAATGCCAAGCGTCACATCCGGAAGAAACCCGGCACCATCCCTTTCAACGGCAGGGAGACTAGTCAGGATCGACGGAAAGATGAACGGCGCAAAGTACAGAGAGATCCTTGATGAAAACCTGCTCCAGAGCGCTCAGGACCTCAGACTGGGGTGAAGGTTCTCCTTCCAACAGGACAACGACCCAAAGCACACAGCCAAGACAACACAGGAGTGGCTTCAGGACAAGTCTCTGAATGTCCTTGAGTGGCCCAGCCAGAGCCCGGACTTATACCTGATAGAACATCTCTTGAGAAACCTGAAAATAGCTGTGCAGCGACGCTCCCCATCCAACCTGACAGAGCTTGAGAGGAACTGCAGAGAAGAATGGGAGAAACTCCCCAAATACAGGTGTGCCAAGCTTGTAGCGTCATAACCAAGAAGACCCAAGGCTTTAATCGCTGCCAAAAGGTGCTTCAACAAAGTACTGAGTAAAGGGTCTAAATTCTTATGTAAATGTGATATGTTTTAATGTTCTTATACATTTGCAAAAAATTCTAAAAAACTGTTTTTGCTTTGTCATTATGGGGTATTGTGTGTAGATTGAGGGGGGGAAAACGATTTAATCAATGTTAGAATAAGGCTGTAACGTAACAAAATGTGGAAAAGGTCAAGGGGTCTGAATACTTTCCGAATACGCTGTACATTAATGTGAAATAGACAGTGATACATGAATCCTAAATACAGGTACCATTTTATTTTGTTAATCGCTGCAGGTTTGTCATCTGATTTATTGGAGCCTGGTGGAGATGGACGCAACCATACTACAAGGCAGGACATTTCTCTGCATCCAGGTTGATGCTTGCTACTAGCAGGAACATGCAGCACTCTGTCAGTAAGTCATGATATTCTTGTTTTCCTTTACATTGCATGATACTAGAAAGGAGGCCCTGAGCAATCGCTCTCCAGATGCTACAGACAGAATGGTCCAAGGACCTCCAGAGCCTTCTGACCAACTACCTGAAATATCTCCAGAGCACAGAGAAGTAAGCTACACTCATAATAGTATACTTGATGCACTATGTAAACCTCCTTCACTGTGGCAGTCTGCCTGTGTGATAACATATTATACAGAGCCACTGGTTGGATTGGTTTTACTGTACTCATGCCAAAACTCATGCTCTCTCCACACTGTAAGAGTCTCCCAGACTTCTATCAAATCTAACATGTGTCCATCCCACTTTCCTCTAGGTGAGTCTGCTGGGCTATGGAACTCTAGAGCAGCACATCAAAAAATCCTGTTGTAAGCTATCAGCAGACAGTTCCCTGAGGAAGGATGCAACTATCAAGGCTTTCAAAGGCCACATTTTGGGGAGGACCAAATATTACCGTTGTAGCTCATTATATTGAAGGGCTTTGACTGGGAAATCACCTCCCCAGTCAGTCTTTTGTGCGTATTGGACATTCATATTGCAATGTACAGTCGTGGTCAAAAGTTGAGAATGACACAAGTATTGGTCTTCACAAAGTTCGCTGCTTCAGTGTTATGAGATATTTTTGTCAGATGTTACTATGGTATACTGAAGTATAATTACAAGCATTCCATAAGTGTCAAAGGCTTTTATTGACAATTACATTAAGTTTATGCAAAGAGTCAATATTTGCAGTGTTGACCCTTCTTTTTCAAGACCTCTGCAATCCGCCCTGGCATGCTGTCAATTAACTTCTGGGCCACATCCTGACTGATGGCAGCCCATTCTTGCATAATCAATGCTTGGAGTTTGTCAGAATTTGTGGGTTTTTGTTTGTCCACCCGCCTCTTGAGGATCGACCACAAGTTCTCAATGGGATTAAGGTCTGGGGAGTTTCCTGGCCATGGCCCAAAATGTCGATGTTTTGTTCCCCGAGCCACTTAGTTATCACTTTTGCCTTATGGCAAGGTGCTCCATCATGCTGGAAAAGGCATTGGTCTTCACCAAACTGTTCTTGGATGGTTGGGAGAAGTTGCTCTCAGAGGATGTGTTGGTACCATTCTTTATTCATGGCTGTGTTCTTAGGCAAAATTGTGAGTGAGCCCACTCCCTTGGCTGAGAAGCAACCCCACACATGAATGGTCTCAGGATGCTTTACTGTTGGCATGACACAGGACTGATGGTAGCGCTCACCTTGTCTTCTCCGGACAAGGTGTTTTCCGGATGCCCCAAACAATCGGAAAGGGGATTCATCAGAGAAAATGACTTTACCCCAGTCCTCAGCAGTCCAATCCCTGTACCTTTTGCAGAATATCAGTCTGTCCCTGATGTTTTTCCTGGAGAGAAGTGGCTTCTTTGATGCCCTTCTTGACACCAGGCCATCCTCCAAAAGTCTTCGCCTCACTGTGCGTGCAGATGCACTCACACCTGCCTGCTGCCATTCCTGAGCAAGCTCTGCACTGGTGGTGCCCCGATCCCGCAGCTGAATCAACTTTAGGAGACGGTCCTTGCGTTTGCTGGACTTTCTTGGGCGCCCTGACGCCTTCTTCACAACAATTGAACCTCTCTCCTTGATCCGATAAATGGTTGATTTAGGTGCAATCTTACTAGCAGCAATATCCTTGCCTGTGAAGCCCTTTTTGTGCAAAGCAATGATGACGGCACGTGTTTCCTTGCAGGTAACCATGGTTAACAGAGGAAGAACAATGATTTCAAGCACCACCCTCCTTTTAAAGCTTCCAGTCTGTTATTCTAACTCAACCAGCATGACAGGGTGATCTCCAGCCTTGTCCTCGTCAACACTCTCACCTGTGTTAATGAGAGAATCATTGACATGATGGCAGCTGGTCCTTTTGTGGCAGGGCTGAAATGCAGTGGAAATGTTTTTTTGGGATTAAGTTCATTTTCATGGCAAAGAGGGACTCTGCAATTAATTGCAATTCATCTGATCACTTTATGACATTCTGGAGTATATGCAAATTGCCATCATCAAAACTGAGGCAGCAGACTTTGTGAAAATTAGTATTTGTGTCATTCTCAAAACTTTTGACCACGACTGTACAGCCTTACCTATGGATATTGTGTCCATTAAATGTGGTATCAGCCTACAGTACCAGTGGCTGTCGGTGCCGTTTAAGATGAGTGAGAACAATCCAAATAAAATAAAATAAATTATGAGCATGGCCTTATTTCTATCACAGCATATTGGATGACTGTCATTCATATTCCATTCACCCAGCTCAATGTAACATCAATAGTTTTGGCTACTACACGATACTCTAATTTCCCCAATACCCATCATGAGGTTGCTACAACCTAGCCTACGAATTAAAGTTTACAACGTAGGTGCACAGGTCGTGAGAAAAATTGGAGTAATGAAGGTGACAGACAGAAACACATTCAATACCGCCTGCATCTAGCTGATCTAGGGTGTAATCATTAGTCAAACAGTTGCAAACTAGAGTTTCTGTTGAACAAATTCAGGTATGTTGATCCCTGTTTCGTTTGATTCCGTTTAAGAAACATTTTAACAGAATCGGCAGAATGAATACATCCCTGATCACCCTCAAACACAGTTCACTTTCATAGCAGCCACATACAAACAGCGTGATCACTTTGCTCGTTGTGTATATATACAGTGCATTCGGAAAGTATTCAGACCCCTTGACTTTTTCCACTTTGTTACGTTACAGCCTTATTCTAAAATTAATTAAATGAAAATGTTCCCTCATCAATCTACACACAATACCCCATAATGACAAAGCAAAAACATGTTTTTAGAAATCTTTACAAATGTATATAAAAAACAAAAATAGAAATACATAGATATGTAGAGAACATTTATACATTTTAGTCAGTATTTCTGTATTTCTCCCTTGCTCATTTATTTAGCTATGTGTGGATTTATTTATATTAATTTAATTCTAATTACAGCAGGTTTGGTCCACCATCACACACACACACACCACACAGGTTCTTCCATTTCAAGGCCCTGGGGTATTGGGCTGTGTCCCAATCATCTCAAATATTGTAGCATCCCTTCATTCTCCCTTCTCCTTATTAAGCTGATATATGGCTGTCTTCCTTACCTTCAGTCAGGGTCTCAAATTCATCCTCCATGCTGGATCCTCCAGGGCTGCCCTCGGGGCTAAGGGCCTGTACCCTGAATAGGTAGGCTGTGCCTGGGGACAAGTCACTGATCTGCACAGAGCTCTTCTCCAGAATCAGAACAGTGTACGTGGTCACATCCAGATTGTCATCCTGGAAGAGTTGGAGAAGCGGGGGGGATTGAAAGATGAGATAGGTCATGTTGGTTCACTGTGTTTCGGTAAGGAATCGTAATAATAAGGTACACTGTTTTGTTATGCAGTATTGCTCCCCCTGATGGCGTTTATCATCCCTGAAACCCCTCTCATTTTCTATCTTGCTTTTTTTTCCCCTTTCTTCATGCACTACCACAACATTCCTTTTCTAACTCATTATGTATCAAAAGACATATCCAAATACAACAGTGCAAACATTTTCACCAGCTAGTGGTGGCGTGGGTGGTTTACTGTACCTTCTTGCGGTAGGTGAGTTTGTAGCGGGTGGGCTGGGGCAGGGGCCTGCGGGGGGCTACAGCCCAGGACAGGGAAAGGCTGGTGAGGCTCCGCTCGTCCAGACGCATGGACGTCACCTTGGGGGGGTCTGAGGAGGGAGGAGGGGAGATGTTAACAATTACAGAGACTTTGTGCAATATCCTTCACAGGTTCAACTGACCAAGAGCTTTTGAAATGCTTTCACTGCATTATGTGTGATGGAGTATTTAGTGATCATGCTTGTATGAGGCCAAACAACTACATTTCAGATCATACATAATACAAGGTTTCTACTACTACTACTACTACTACCACCCCCAAGTACGGTGACCCACCTGTGTAGTGCAGGGCAGTGGTCAATGTGCTGGTGGGCGGGGGCCTGTTGGAGGGTGGCGCCCCCTGGCTGGCGAACAGCGACACTCCGCTGTGGGCCTCCACGGTGAACGTGTAGTTGAGGTGGGGCTCCAGCTCGCTCACTGCCACCCGGGTGTCCGTCAGGCCTGAGCTGGCTGGCTCGAGGCGCACCTTCTCCCCGCATGGCTGGCATGCGGTGCCCTCGCAGCGTCGGCACTCCACGCTGTAGGTGATGTCACTGCGGCCGCCCGTGTCCTCCGGCGGGCTCCATGACAGCTGCAGCTTGCCCGCCACCAGCTGGGTGGTCATGGCGACCAGTTCTCGCGGCGCTGAGGGCAGGCCTGAGGAAACAGGAGCAGGAAAATGGAAGCATGTTAGTTCATGTATGATTAATTAATGTCATCATTAACATTATGTTAACCATTATGTTAACCATTATGTTAGCATTCTGGGATTTTCTTTTGCTTACGGTCATTCTAATCTTATTTTCTTTTTAGTGTCATTATTTTGGTCAAGAGAGCACTTGAGCGCAATGAAAAGCAAATCTCTCATTCGTTGTCAGTGTAGGATCCACCAGTGCACTAAACAGTCATTTTCCAAAATGTCCTCCTCCTCACCTGAGCAGGGCCCTGTAGCTGGGTCGTCGGGAGCACGATAGAAGTATTCTGCACACGGGCAGCGCAGTGCCCCGGAGCTCAGCAGCTTGGTGTTAACAGGACACAGCTCGCATGCATCGCTGGACACAAACGCTTTGAAGAAGCCTGGCTGACACTCTGAAAACACAACACACACACAGGGAGGGGAGACTTTCATGAGGAACTGAGGGGAACTAGTTGAGAAACTGCAAATGAAATTATGGCAAGGAAAACATGCAGTGCGTCCCAAATGGCAACTTATTCCCTATATAATGCACTGCTTTTGACCAGAGCCCTATGTTCACAACATGTAACAATTTCAAAGATTTTACAGTTCATAAGAAAATCTGTCAATTGAAATACATTTATTAGGCCCTTATCTATGGATTTCACATGACTGGGAATACAGATATGAATCTGTTGGTCACAGATAACTTTTTAAATTGTATTTTAAGTAGGGGACGTGGATCAGAAAACCAGTCAGTGTCTGGTGTGACTACCATTTGCCTCATGCAGCGAGACACATCTCCTTTGCATAGAGTTGATCAGGCTGTTGATTGTGGCCTGTGGAATGTCCCACTCCTCTTCAATGGCTGTGCGAAGTTGCTGGATATTGGTGGGAACTGGAACACGCTGTCATACACATCGATCCAGAGCATCCCAAAAATGCTCAATGGGTGACTTGTCTGGTGAGTATGCAGGCCAAGGAAGAACTGAGACATTTTCAGCCTCCAGGAATTGTGTAGAGATCCTTGCGACATAGGGCCGTGCATTATCATGCTGAAACATGAGGTGATGGCGGTGGATGAATGGCATTACAATGGGGCTCAGGATCTCGTCACAGTATCTCTATGCATTCAAATTGCCATAGATAAAATGCAATTGTGTCCGTTGTCCGTAGCTTATGCCTGCCCATACCATAACCCCACCGCCACCATGGGGCACTCTCTTCACAAGGTTGACATTAGCAAACAGCTCGCCCACACGACGCCATACACGCTGTCAGCCATCTTCCCAGTACAGCTGAAACCGGGATTAATCCATGAAGAGCACACTTCTCCAGCGTGCCAGTGGCCATTGAAGGTGAGCATTTGCCCACTGAAGTTGGTTACGACACCAAACTGCAGTCAGGTCAAGACCCTGGTGAGGACGACGAGCACGCAGATGAGCTTCCCTGAGACGGTTTCTGACAGTTTGTGCAGAAATCCTTCAGTTGTGCAAACCCCCAGATTCATCAGCTGTCCGGGTGGCTCGTCTCAGACCATCCCGCAGGTGAAAAAGCTGGATGTGGAGGTCCTGGGCTGACGTGGTTACACGTGGTCTGCGGTTGTGAGGACAGTTGGACGTACTGCCAAATTCTCTAAAACACATGTCAACCATTCCACGGAGGCCTAGTTGGCTGCGGGTTTTCCAACTCCTCCCTTTGTCCTTGATTGATGAATTAAGGTTCACTAATTAGTAAAGAAACTCCCCACACCTGGTTGTCTAGGGCTTAATTGAAAGGAAAAACCCAAAACCTGCCAGACACTAGGGCCCCTCCATCATGGAATGGGGAGTTTTGACACCCCTGCTCTAAACGACCATAGGAGTTCGGGCTTATGGTAGAGAATTGAACATTACAATTCTCTGGGAACAGCTTTGGTGGACATTCCTGCAATCAGCATGCCAATTGCACGCACCCTCAAATCTGTTGCATTGTGTTGTGTGACAAAACTGCATATGTTAGAGTGGCCTTTTATTGTGTAATGATCATGCGGTTTAATCAGCTTCTTGATACGCCACACGTGTCAGGTGGATGGATTATCTTGGCAAACGAATTTGTCCACAAAATGTAAGAGAAATACGCTTTTTGTGCGTATGGAACATTTCTGGGATCTTTTCTTTCAGCTCATGAAACATGGGACCAACACTTTACATATTGCGTTTATATTTTTGTTCAGTGTACTTTTGAACTACTACTCTTCCTTTAAACCATCCCCCTTTTCTCGCTCTCGCTCTAAACTAATACATCTAGTTGTCCCACATTCCAGGACAGTATGTCAGCCATCAATACTTCACGAGGAGAGGAGAGAAAACAGAGAGCAAGCCAGAATCAAGTGGGAAAAGAAAGCAGAAAGAGCGATAGAAAATGAAAAACTGAGCGGAACCATTATGTGCATACTTCAGCAGTCTTTTAAAAAGACCCCTGTGCAGATATGAAACCGTATCGCTTAGATAAGATGTCTGCTGATTTCACACGTGGGAGAATAGAATGGGAGAGCTGCAGGTAAGCTCCAGCTGTGCACCAACAGTAGGGGAATCTGAGAGTAAGATGTCGTGAAATCTCTGTGGTTCTCATGGAGGAAAGTGAAAATGAGAAGGCCACCCTTAAACGCTGCAAAAACATTCCAATGGCTGCTGGTCATGTCCTTGCTATATCCCCTTACATGATCACACACACACACTTGGAGAGGAAATCTGACTTCAGAGGAAGGATTACTGTTCTCTTCACCTAACACACACACACACAGCTTACTTTGGTTATTCTATTTCCAGGGCCTGGGGTATAGGGCTGTGTCCCAATAATCTCAAATAGCAGCCCTTCCTTAGCCAGCTCTCTTTACCTAGGTTGACTTCATTGCTTTATCAGACATGAAGAGTCGGCGGCCCTAATTTAAGTAGATGGATAGATGAATAATATCATGTAGATGGATGATATCAGTAGATGGATGATATCATGTTTGATGTGAGCGACTGTATGCAAAGTAGGTACCGGGTGACAAGGTGTTCGAAAAAAGGACAGTTGGAGTGTGTCTGTGTGTGTGTGTGTGCGAGAGAATGCTAAAGCGAAAAAGAGAGAGATTACAGGCAATGGAGGAATGACTGGAGAAAGAAGGTGAAATATATAAAGAATAAATGACAGATGGTTTCAGTGTCTGCATCCAAAAGGCAACGCAGGGACAAGTCAAGAAGGAAACAGATGTCTATTCTCAGAGAAATATCAAGTTTGACTGAAGTTTACTTGGAACCTTTAAGTAACCTCACACTTGCCTGAAAGAAACCTCTGCGTTTTATTTATTTTGAGGGTATTAACTCAAGTGACTATGAGACATTCCCCTTCCTTTGCTCCATTCGTCTTTTGTCTCGTTGGGGCCTCCAAGTTGCGGTCGAGCCATTTGTCAGCAATAGAGGTGAACAAAGGTATACATTACAGCAAACGTGGGCGGCAATGGCGCATTCTTCATTTGAAAAGGAATTCCTAGCATGAAAAGAATTTGGATTGTTGCCGTTTCTTTCACGTTACCCTTCTCCTCTCTTTCTCTGCAAGCTGTTTCTAGAACATTCACGACTACTCATTAACAACACCTCAAAGGGCAAAAATAAATGGAGGGATAGAGAAACAGAAGGGCAGCAGAGGGATAGAAAGAGAGAGGGGTATCGAATCCTGCTGGAGACTTAGGAAGAAAAGGGGGAGCGAGAGAAGAGAGAATTGCATTGAGTGGGCAAACGAAACAGCTGCTGTCTCAAACCCCAATTCATAGGCCTCCATCTCCCCTGCCTCCCCACTCGTAATCCCCAAATTCCTCTGTCCTCCCTTCTACTCCCTTCCAGCCTCACCAAAGGCTCACAGCTAACCCATTAGCATCTCCTTTCACCAGCAACCAGCAGGCAGGAGAATGCCATGCCATAAAACTGCAGAGAGAGAGAAAAAAAAAACTTCTTGCAAATAGTAGAAATGCCACATGGCAACTGAATAGAGGGGACTAGGCTCTTTTTGCACAGCAGCGGCAGGAAATTGAGAGTGGCTGCGATGCGTCTGGTCAGGGCTGTGGTGAGATGGCCTTACACTAAGAAGTGGACTCTGTAATCAACAGGCAGTCCAGAATACACCACCCAACGGGAGGCCCGTGGGCCTAGAATAGAGGTCTTCACGGTTTCAACAGACCCAAAATACCGAGATCCAAACCGGGACCCGAGCAGGTACAGGTTCTAAATTCGGACTTTTGTCTCGGATCTGGGTCTGGTCTGATATAATTGCCACTGGTCTCAGTATGTGCAATTACATTTGATTTACCGACTGGACCCGCTTGGACCTGTCCTCTGTTAATTTAATGTTTGTGTGATGAGAACTGCGAGAGCTTGTTCTCTGTGTCAGCCAATTGCAACTCAATAAAATGTATAGCTTATGTCCAGCGGAAACTGGTTCCGGCTGCTCACATCACGTGCGCCTGCTGATGAGGAGAGAGAGCGAGTGAAAGGAGCCTTGGCCTAGAATACTGTTGATTGCGAAGATGGTAGTCCTTTTTCATTGAAGTAAAACAAAAGTATAGTGAAAAGAAGGCGCAAGAGGAATGTCCTTCAAATCAAATCACATTTTATTTGTCACATGCGCCGAATACAACAGGTGCAAATAGTCCGGGTAGCCATTTGATTAGCTGTTCAAGTCTTATGGCTTGGGGGTAGAAGTTGTTAAGAAGCCTTTTGGACCTAGACTTGGCGCTCCGGTACCGCTTGCCATGCGGTAGCAGAGAGAACAGTCTATGACTAGGGTGGCTGGAGTCCAACTATTTTTATGGCCTTCCTCTGACACCGCCTGATATAGAGGTCCTGGATGGCAGGAAGCTTGGCCCCAGTGATGTACTGGGCCGTACGCACTACCCTCTGTAGTGCCTTGCGGTCAGAGGCCGAGCAGTTGCCATACCAGGCAGCGATGAAACCAGTCAGGATGCTCTCGATGGTGCAGCTGTATAACTTTTTGAGAATCTGAAGACCCATGCCAAATCTTTTCAGTCTCCTGAGGGGGAATAGGCTTTGTCGTGCCCTCTTCACTACTGTCTTGGTGTGTTCGGACCATGATAGTTTGTTGGTGATGTGGACACCAAGGAACTTGAAGCTCTCAAACTGCTCCACTACAGCCCCATCGATGAGAATGGGGGCGTGCTCGGTCATCTTCTTTTTCCTGTAGTCCACAATCATCTCCTTTGTCTTGATCACGTTGAGGGAGAAGTTGTTATCCTGGCACCACACGGCCAGGTCTGTGACCTCCTCCCTATAGGCTCTCATCGTTGTCGGTGATCAGGCCTACCACTGTTGTGTCGTCGGCAAACTTAATGATGGTGTTGGAGTCGTGCCTGGGCATGCAGTCATGGGTGAACAGAGAGTACAGGAGGGGACTGAGCATGCACCCCTGAGGGGCCCCCGTGTTGAGGATCAACGTGGCAGATGTGTTGTTACCTTCCCTTACCACCTGGGGGCGACCCGTCAGGATGTCCAGGATCCAGTTGCAGAGGGAGGTGTTTAGTCCCAGGGTCTTTAGCTTAGTGATGAGCTTTGAGGGCACTATGGTGTTGAACGCTGAGCTGTAGTCAATGAATAGCATTCTCACGTAGGTGTTCCTTTTGACCAGGTGGGAAAGGGCAGTGTGGAGTGCAATAGAGATTTCATCATCTGTGGATCTGTTGGGGCGTTATGCAAATTGGAGTGGGTCTAGGGTTTCTGGGATAATGGTGTTGATGTGAGCCATGACCAGCCTTTCAAAGCACTTCATGGCTACAGACGTGAGTGCCACGGGTCGGTAGTCATTTAGGCAGGTTACCTTAGTGTTCTTGGGCACAGGGACTATGGTGGTCTGCTTGAAACATGTTGGTAGTACAGACTCTGTTAGGGACAGGTTGAAAATGTCAGTGAAAACACTTGCCAGTTGGTCAGCGCATGCTCGGAGTACACGTCCTGGTAATCCGTCTGGCCCTGCGGCCTTGTGAATGTTGACCTGTTTAAAAGGTCTTACTCACATCGGCTACGGAGAGCGTGATCAAACAGTTGTCCGGAACAGCTGATGCTCTCATGCATGCTTCAGTGTTGCTTGCCTCAAAGCGAGCATATGTCCTTGGGGACAAGTTTTAGTGGACAAAGATGAGAACATTGGTGCAGCCAAATGGACTGTGTGCAACTCGACCTTTCATTTAGTTATTTTCGTATTTATTATCAATTGTTTAGTCATTATTATTATTATTATTATTATTATTATTATTATTATTATTATTATTATTGGCCTATTTAATCATCTAAACCGGTTCTTTAAATAACCTATGCAAAAAGTGCTTTGTTTCATTTTGTTAAGACATTTTCGTTGGCTAAGTGAAGTTCTGTCTTTTTAATTTTGTGCTCCGTATTTAGTTTAAGGTTAAAAGTAGGTATTCTGTAAAAATTAATTACATTAGCCTATTGCTGTCATTTATTGGGTATGCCTACGGTATGCAATCACCTTTGTTGGTAATAGTTGCAATATAGGCTAGCCTGTTCAAATCAAAGGTTTAATTCTGTTGAGCCATTTTTGTTAGCCAAATTAAGTTCCAGCTGTAATGGTGTGTTTGCCGCAATAATATAATTACCAGTAGGCCTACTATGCTACCTTCACTCAAACCATGAAAAGGAAAAACCAAAGAGGGCAAGATGCAAAACTTAATTTAATGCCGCAATATAATAACCTGTTCGTATTTTCCCTATAAACAATGACTTGACTTTCTTTTGATATTACCCGAATAAAGTTAAGCAACTTTTGTTAAGGTTTGGTGTGGTATAGCTATTATTAGGCTTAGCTACTGCAGACCTATGAAGGCAGTGCGCACCGGCACTCCAAGTTGAACTTGAGGTGAGGAAGAATGTTTTTGGCCTACCAGAGTTACTCCTTTAATCTAACAATATAAGGCTCATCTTTCTAAAATATATTTGGATAGAAAATTAACAAATTAGCCTCCTTTTGTACGCCTATATCTGTATTGCAGTAGTAGCCCATCTGACAAGTATAAAGAAATCCATATCGGTTGGGAACATAGCGCCGGCATATCTCTATCTTTCTCTCGGTCTCTCTAAAGCCAAAGCTTGTCTCTAGGCCTATAGGTCTATTGCATGCAATGCCCTGATGCATTTAGCGCTCAAATCTCCAACAGCTGAACAGTGAGGTAGACAATTATTGTTTAAGGAAAGTAAAAAACAATAGACTACAAAGTTTTGAATATGCTACACATCGAAACATATTTTTTTTAATAATTTGTTATAGGCAGTTTAAGAACACGTAACTGTGGATCATTTGGCCAGTGTCGCTTGTTTATTGATGGCATTGGCAGCGCCCAGTTAGCGGTTTCTTTCTCTCGTTCTTTCTACTCTCAGATCTGAAATGGGTCTCTCAGATCCGAAGCACAGGTCTATTTGGGTCCGTTGTCCATGGTCCTTTTTGGAAAAGGTCTCAGTTTTTTGAAAATGTATTTATGCATATCAGGTCGAGTGGGAAAGCCACGAGTCCAACTTTTTGGATCCGTGAAGCCTAGAGAGCCATATAGTTCAGGCCCATTTCATTTAGTGCCTTTCTCTAGAAAGGTCACCGCATGTGTACACTGACTCACAATCACAGGAAATGAAACCAATGAACGTGATCAACAGGAATCGGTGACCACCAATTTATTCGTTTTTGAGGAGGAATAGAAACTGAAGAAGGGTAAAGGAATGTTCCTCTGAAAGTGAGAGAGTGGTTCGTCTTTGCTGCTGGACACAACAGGAAGCGTAAGGTTGACACTGAGCTTCCTTCCTCCAGCAGCCAATCAAAGCATGTGAGGGAAGAGGGTCACAGCCACAGATTGAGTCCAGGGAAAGAATAAGGGAGAGAGCTGAAATGTTGTTGACAAAGAACAGAACAGGGAGTAAGGCCGGGGTTTGGGGACTCTTGAGGAAAACCCGGTGCATTTCTCAAGTAAATAACAGTTTGTCAACCTCTTTAAAGAGTCAGACAGCTGAGAAACCTAAGTGAGAATGTCTCCTTTTTTTGCCCGTCGGGATCCCCTGGGAGGTAGGCCCTGTTTGTCATTTGAGATGCCCTGTGCCTAAAGAGCCTGGGCGTTTGTTTATAGTGAGTGACTGGCGAGTGACTGGCGGGTCCTGGTGGATTCTGGGAGTTGAGTGGGCTGGTTTGTCAGCCAGAGTTAAGATGGATGAGATGGAGACAGTGATGAATGCACGGACTGGTGAATGGATGAATGGGTACACGGCGGCCGGACAACAGAAAGCCCTCAAGGACTTGAATAAAGTGGGGGTGCGCTAGAGGAGAGGAGGGGAGCAAAACAAAAAGCCCCAGTCAAGTCCTGGGCTCTTTTGGTTTTAAAGCACAGGAGGGTCATGTCTG